ACTACTACTACTACTACTACTACTACTACTACTACTACTACTATAGTAGAATAGTATAGTAGTATAGTAGTAGTAGTAGTAGTAGTAGTAGGAGCCGGTTGAAAGGACACTTAGCACGTTGAGATAAATGTCGCTTAGAGGTGATCGGAGTGCTTTTTTGTGTCCTTCCTTCCAGGCTAGTAGTAGTAGTAGTAGTAGTAGTAGTAGTAGTAGTAGTAGTAGTAGTAGTAGTAGTAATAGTAGTAGTAGTATAGTAGTATAATAGTCTAGTAGTAGTAGTAGTATAGTAGTATAGTAGTATAGTAGTATAGTAGTATAGTAGTATAGTAGTATAGTAGTTTAGTATAGTATAGTAGTATAGTATAATATCGTAGTAAATAGTAGTATATAGTAGTATATATATAGTAGTATAATAATGTAAGTATAGTATAGTATAGTAGTAGTATATAGTAGTAGCAGTAGTAGTAGTATAGTAGTAGTATAGTAGTATTAGTAGTAGTAGTAGTAGTAGTAGTAGTAGTAGTAGTAGTAGGTGTACTACTAATACTAGTACTAATACTAGTACTAGTACTAGTACTACTACTAGTACTATAGTATAGTACTAGTATAGTATAGTATAGTAGTAGTATAGTAGTAGTAGTAGTAGTAGTAGTAGTAGTAGTAGTAGTAGTAGTAGTAGTAGTAGTAGTAGTAGTAGTAGTAGTAGTAGTAGTAGTAGTAGTAGTAGTATAGTAGAATAGTATAGTAGTATAGTAGTATAGTAGTAGTAGTAGTAGTAGTAGTAGTAGGAGCCGGTTGAAAGGACACTTAGCACGTTGAGATAAATGTCGCTTAGAGGTGATCGGAGTGCTTTTTTGTGTCCTTCCTTCCAAGCTAGTAGTAGTAGTAGTAGTAGCAGTAGTAGTAGTAGTAGTAGTAATAGTAGTAGTAGTATAGTAGTATAATAGTCTAGTAGTCGTAGTATAGTAGTATAGTAGTATAGTACATAGTAAAAGTTAATATAGCATAGTATAGTATAAACTGGTATAGTATAGTAGTATTATCAGATAGTATTGTATACTGTACTATAGTATAGGAAAGCATAGTAGATCGAGTATGTAGAATAGTATATATTAATATAGTAATATCGAGTAGTACACCTATAAAAGTTGGGCAGTATGGTTGTGGTGTCGGAACCATGTTCCTTTCTTCACCCTCCCGGCTCCATCCCATCATGGTGCCTTAAGCTTGTATCTGCCGACACCGTACACACACAGACACACACACACAAACATAGAGATACCTCAAGTCCCTCCGCACGGTCTTTGTTTTCAGTCCCAGCTCCCTGTCTCTGGTGCAGCTGGTCGACAGCACGAGCCGCAAAAGGAAACCACGGGGCATGAGGCAAGGCCTTTGTTCCATGTGTTGTGTGCATGTATGCCAGTAGCAGCCTTGATGCCTACAGGGCTGTGGATCCTGCCTTGCCTCCGCCCGGGGGAGGACGGACACGTCTACAGCAACTCAGGCCGCTCTGCAGCAAGCTCTTTGTTCTACATGGGTATAGCCACATACAGCCAAAGTGTTGTAGTCTGTGATATGCACACACAGCAGCCAAGCTACATTGCAAAGCAGCCAGGTTTATGCACGAATAAATCCCGGCCCGGACTGAGGTGACAGACTTTATGCATGAATATTCTTCGGATGCTTTTCGCAACCAAATTTATCTATGGATAAACCTTAGCTTGAAATAATGCCACAAGATTTATTTGTAAATAAACCTTAGGTACTTATATGGGCCCGGGGTTTATCTATGCATAAACCTGGCTAGCTACCAGCCCAAGTGCCGTTGCACCTGTCGCCTCCAATTTCAGAGGCATCACATCACGGCAGCACCTGAACCATCGGCGACCAACAGCCAAACCACTGCTTTTCCAGAACAGCCAAGCCCGGCACAAACTGTGCCCGGCCGCCGTGGCGATTGCCCCGCCAGCACCTAGGACCGCCATGCTCCACACAGGAGAGAGACACACATGGAGAGGGAGAGGGAGAGGGATGGAACGAAAAAGAGATAGAGCCAAGGAGGCTTGGAGAGGGAGAGAGGGAGGGAGAGGGAAAGGGATAGGGAAGGGATAGGGAGGAGAGGGAGAGGGAGAGGGAGAGGGAGAGGGAGAGGGAGAGGGAGAGGGAGAGGGAGAGGGAGGGAGAGGGAGAGGAGAGGGAGAGAGAGAGAGGGAGAGGAGAGGAGAGGGAGAGGGAGAGGGAGAGGGAGGAGGGAGAGGGAGAGGGAGAGGGAGGAGGGAGAGGGAGAGGAGGAGGGAGAGGGAGAGAGGAGGGAGAGGAAGAGGGAGAGGGAGAGCGAGAGGGACAGGGAGAGCGAGAGGCAGAGGGAGAGGGACAGGGAGAGAGGGAGAGTGAACCGAAAACACAGGCACCGGCAAGGACTGAGCCATGCACTGCCTCAGTCGTCCCCGTGCTGGTCCTGAGGACCAGCTTGCCGCAGGAACACACAAAAAGAACTATCATGTGGCATTGTTGCTGGCCTGGTGCATCCTGTCCATCTGCTTGGCCATGTAGTGCATCGTGGACACACTCTTCTGCAGATCCTGCAGAAGAGTTTTTTTTTGTGGTGGCAGGTTTTGGGATGTCTCATAAACCAATCACTGGTCTCCTCGAGGTGTGCCACCTGCGACTTGGCCTTCTGCTTCTCCTCAAGAAGCCTTATGGCAGCTCCTCCTCGGGTGCGGCCCCGAGTGCGACCGCCACCGGGAGCACACACCTCCCAGGCAGGAACATGTCTGCTCAGCCACTGAGCAACAATGCCTTCAGCCTGCCCCTTCTCGTTCACGTAGTGGGGCTTCACATAGAAGCCTCGTCGGGACATGAAAACCTAGCCTGAACTGCCACATGTGGCCTGCATCACCCGCCTGGACCTCGACTCTGCACCGGCTTCGTCGGGACTGGCAACAAACTCTTCAATGCTTGTGCGAGACACAACAATATAGAGTCGGGGTGCACCTTGGGAACTCGAGCTGGCAAACCCATCATCTTCCTGCAAGAGCATGTATGTAGAACCCTGCATGCTTCCGAGAAAGGAAGACGATGCCCGCCTGGTGGCCATCCTCCTCATCATAGCCCTCCTGAACGATCACTTGTATTATTGGGCCGTGCTTGCTTACAAACGGGGCCCGAGCCTCGGCACGGGGTGTCTCCGGATTCTCCTGCCAAACGATGGTGTTCTAACACAGAGACACACACCCGATCTGTCGAGGGATCACGATTCCTCGGGGTCGTGGCTCCACCAGCGGCGGCCGTGCCCCTGCCGGGATCTGCTGTCTCCCAATGGATGTTGGGTGTGTGGATGTGTGATCGGGAAGCACCTTCTTGCCATAGCCCTTGGCACGGCCCTGCCAGGATGTTCTGTCTCTCACATGACTATATAGATCCTATATCTCAAGCAAAATGCATGCCTTGTTGTGCTTCAAAGGGCCCGGCATCTGGCGGCCCTGCCCAAAGTGCACTTTCATACTTAACATGCTGTTGCTTGCATGAAAAGACACAATTGGGCGCACAGGAACACCTTCCATCCCTATGGTGCAGGGTTGACAGGGTTCCTTGGGGTTTTTATCAAGAAAATACATAGGAAGCCTGCCGGCGAGCTAGAAGCCCTGCCTGCGATCCTGTGAACAATTCTGTACAAATGTGTATGCATGTGTATATGCATACATATGTTTGTAGATAGTGCATCTGTCTTAGTATACACAAACCTCAAAGTAGTTTTAAAACCAACCTATATAATGTTGCCTGTACCTATAGCAATGTATAGTCTACTTTGATCCAGTCACTGTATACAAGTTGCCCAATGTAGGCTCCATAATAAATTATAATCTATGACAATGTATCATGTAAACTATACAACTATAAACCAACATCTACATGTTCATGTGAATTGTAACTATCTATTATCATCTACAATGTAATATAAACTAAATATATTCGTCAACCCAAAACCTACCACAAAGTATATATCTATATAACCCCATGGAATATAGTGATCTCTTTATGTAGATGTATCTACACCGCTCTATCTGTCTATATGTAGTGGAACACAACTGTGTGCAGAGACTGCACCCAAACATTAAAGACCAAGTGTGTACATATGTACATATATATATATATATATATATATACGTGATATATACTCTATATCTATACAACCTATATATATATATATATATACACGCATATACATGCAAACACAGTTTGCTGAGGAATTCCCGCCTTCTTCGCGGGCGGGAATTCCGGCTCCACGGGTCGCTTCTGGCAGAAGATGTACTTATATGTACTGCACATAGCAAAGACAAAACGGAACCTTCGTCTTGACCTTCTCCCGTGGCTGGAGCACCACAGCCGGGCCTTCACATGCCATGCACAACACATGCAAGGAGGCAGGATGTGACCATCGTGCATGGCCTGGCTCCACTTCCACCTCCTCCATCTCCTCCTCCGGGTCCAGCATGACTGGAGAGTCTTCGTGTCCTCCCAGGAGATATATATGTTATTTAGAAGTATATATTTATATGTATGGGGTTATATATATCTATGTGTTACAGTGCCAGTGTATATATAAGCTATATCTATATACAGAACTACAGAACTTTATAATGTATACAGAAGCTCTGCATATCAGACCTGTTCTTGTGTAAATTTCCCTATGTATATATATATATATATGTATATGTATATATATATATGTATATATATGTATATATATATATATATCTACAAATATATATATATATATATATATATATGTATATATATCTACAAATATATATATATATATATATATATATATATATATACATGTCTATATATATATACTATATATGTTATTATACACCTATATTAATGTATATTTTTATATATACATATTTCTTACCTATTATACATCCACGTAGATATATACATATACACTTTTAAAACCCTAAACCTTCTAGACCCTAAAACCCTATATAGAAACCCTATATCATTCTTATACTGTGTATAAAGAGATGTAAGACCGTGCCTGCGACACAGATCGTGGCTGCCGTGCCGTCCCAGAACTTCCATCCGCTCGTCGGCACGGTGGAGCTCTTCTTGTTGGGGTGCACCCACATGATTTGTCCTGCCAGATGATGAAACAGAATGGGTGCCCTAAACCGTGCATATAACCCCCTTGCACCTTCGGCACCCAAGATCTTCCAGCCCATGGAGCTGCTCCATGACACACCAGCTCCTGGCGAGGTCTGTATATATTGTACAAACTGACAAGGATTCGAAACCTGCCTTTGTCGTTGTACCATTTGGACGAGTTCTTCTTCTCGAACTCCTGGTGGAGCTCCAGGGCCTCGAAGCTCTCGGCCTGAAAGGATGCATGCTTTCGTCATAAGATATACTATATACTTTGTCGTGCCGTATTGCAGGCCTCCTCCGCCGTCGGCAAATGGCCGCTTAAGAAAGCGAACGACACCATGGCCCCGAAAAGGAGCCCAACACAAAGCCTCCCGTAGGAGGCACACTTGAGCTGAAAAACAGCTGATCGAGGACCACAGCTAAAAGGGGCTGGCAAGCATGTGCACTGCATCACCTTGCAAACGGACAGGTGCAAGCTCAGCACTATAGACAGACTGCAGTTGCAGACACTGTGCACACACACACAGACACACACTCACACACACACAGTGACGTGCAACATGTATCGCACCGCAGGCAGGGCTGCAAGCTCGCCAGCAGGTGTCACCACCCACCCCGCCCAAGAACTTTTGCATCGTCATCATTGCACATTGCAAGCACGTCTATATTGACAGTGCATGTACACAGGTTTATCAAACATGGCAATGTGCACAAAATTTGCCACATCAGATTCTCTCAACCTCGCGGACATCATGCCATCATGGCATCACTGCTTTGCCTTCGGCTCCCTCTTCTTGTCACCCTTCTTCTGACGAGGCTTTGCCTCTTCGCCTTCGACAGAGCCCTTCAGCCACGAAAGGTTTTCGGGACGGAGCTCCATCCAGATCGTTCCAGTCGAAAGCCCCTCCGAAAGCAGGGACACCTGGAATTCGGCCACCGTCACATCGAGTATTTGAGGAAGGAGGTGGAGATCCTTGGCCGCTGCCCTCCGAATGGTTTTCTTGGCTTTCTTCTTCGGCTGTGCAACCGCCTCGTCGCCCGACACGTCCTCGACTTTGAGAGCTTCTTCAAGGGCTGTGTCGCATGCCGACTGCCGGGCTTCCAAGATCTTGCCGATCACTGGCACGTTCAAGGAACCACTTTCTGCAGCCCGGCCGCCCCCAAGCTGAAGTCGTTTCCCGGTCATCATACGAACGAGCTGTGGGGACCACTTCGTGAACGAGAAGAATGTGCGGTCATCGACTATTTTTTGAGTGGGACACCACTCTTGCTTCCCGTAAAAGATGATCTTGCGAGTCTCCACTTCGAAGGTTGCTTCCTCTGCCATGGCGACTCAACAGCCTGTCACTGTGCCTGTCCTTGAGATGCAAAGCCTGCCAAGCGAGCAAAGTTGCCCTGCTGAGGCGGCTCCAGCACAAATAAAGTGCAAACCCTGCATGCACTGCTGCAACAATGCATTCGATGCTGCACTGAATCAAGGCTTGCATGCAACTGTCAAGAGAAAACAAACATGCTCAAGTACCGCAATTTCTCTGAACCAATGCAGCTGGACCTCTGCTTATGCCGATCGTGCCACCCTGCAGCCTGAAAAGCGCCTGATCATGGTGTCAGGTTGCCATATGAGGCTGTGCCCGGGCCTTCGTTCCAATGCCAAGCGAAAGCAAAACCGCTGGCATCCACATGTGCACATGATGCATATATAGAAATCACATGCCTCTCACTTCTTCGCTTTCTTCTTCGCTGCAACTGCCACTCCGCCGGACGACGATCGCTTCGCCGCACTGGGGGAGAGGGGGAGGGGTGGAGCTTTAAGGTCCTTGGCCTTATAGCACAAAACGACCTCCCCGGCAGCAATCTTCTTGGTGCTTTTGAAGACGGGGATCTTGATGGAGGAAGACTTTTCTGCTTGCATGGGCTGCAACTTCACGTTGGCCTCGTCCTCGTCCTCTGTGTAGTTCACGAAGAAAAACGGGACTATGAGAGGCTTGATCTTGTCATCATCTTCCTTGGGCAGCACACAAGAGGAGCTCAGGTAGAACTTCCTCGCATCCATCGTCCAGTCCGTCGTCACCTCGAACCAGCTCGCTTGGCTGGAGCCCTTGTGGAGGATCTTGCTCGTCAATGGCACCAATGTCACCTTTCCCTTGGGGATGTCCTGCGAGGCCTGAAGCTGCTTCTGGGGCTTCGTTTGCAAGGCAAGCTTGTCGATGCCAGAGGACTGTTCATCAAAAAGTTTCTGAAGCTGCCTCGCGATCTCTGCCTGGAGCATGAAGGCCTGGAGCTCAACATTCGTTGAAGGGCTGTAGATGCTCAAATCTTCCAGTACCTCTGCCTCACTTTTGGGGGTGAAGACGGCCCACTCGTTGCCCAGAATCTTGTCAATGGATTCCTTCGCGACGTCGCCGGAGTCCAACTGGATGTACACAAGGCCGCCTTTCACATCTTGGATCTTGCCAGTGGTCTTGTCAGCTCGCCTCCTCACATTGCTGCCCAATGCATAGCCTCGGGATTCCAGCAAACCCACCGGATTCTTGATTGCACCATGCTCATCCAACTCAAGCAGCACCGGTGCACTCGACGACGATGCCTTTGCCGCTGCAGGTGCTGCTGTTGCCTCGGCGAAGCCTTGCCATTTCAAGGGAAGGGTCCTCCCAGTGAGCTCCTGGGCCACAAGGCAGAAATCATGGGCCACGGCCTGCAGGGTCCTGTAGTCCTTCTCGCCCTTCTGCTTCAAGCCAAGGACCATGCTGCACATGCACATGTCCATGGTTGCAAGGGCCTTCACCAGGCCGGCATCCTTCCACTCCCCGAGTTGCTCTGTTAGCATGGCCCGCACAGCCAACATGATCTCGTCTGCTTCTTTCACCTTCGTGAAGTTCGCAGCGAGCTTCCGGCAGTCCCCCACAGAGACGTTTTGCCGCACGTATGCCGACTTGACGAGGCCGTTGCGAAAACAAGCAACGGCCTCGGAGCCATGCCCCTTGATCTCCATGGACAAAGCCTGCCACAGATCCGGCCCCAGCTGTCTTGAGGAAGGGCAGCATGCTCGCACAAAGAGCTCCGTTTCTTTGAGATGTACGGCCTCTTGGCCCCCGCTGCACTTGAGGCAGTAGGAGTACATGTGAGGGACGGATACCCCGCACTTCGGTTTCGAAGCCAATATCTGCTTCTTCAGAGAAGCAAACGAGGGGGTCTGGCCCGAAGCCTGCATCTTACAGTAGAGGCCATGAATTCGGCGAAGGACTTGGAGTTCATGCTCCCCCCTCTGCAGGGAGGTGTTGCCCGACCTGGAGACCAGCTCGAGGATTTCGGGCACCTCGCGGGCGACGGCTGCAGAGATTACATCCCACGACAAGCCTTCGGTCGCGGCTTCGTGGAAAGCAGGATCGCGATTTTCATTGCCCTCTTGCACCGAACCAGAACCACAAGGTTTAGATCCACAGGGCTTTTTCGACAGAGTTGGCTTTTAAAGACGTTTACAGACTTTTAAAAACTTTAAAATGCAAGAAAAAACATTCTAAAAACTTTTAAAAACTTTAAAAGACTTTTAGAAACTTTTAGAAGACTTTTGCAAACTTTAAAAGACTTTTCAAAACTTTAAAAGGCTTTTAAAATATTTAAAAGACTTTTAAAAACATTAAAATACATTTAAAAGCTTTAAAAAGACTTTAAAAGACTTTTAAAAGCTTTTAAAAGCTTTTACAAACTTTAAAAAGAATTTGAAAGACTTTTAAAGACTTTAAACAACTTTTAAAATTTTTTAAAAACTTTAAAACACACAAAAAAAAACTACATTTTTTAAGGTTTTTTCCGAGAAGACGAGGATGAAGAAGACCTGGCACAGGGTTTACAGTTTCAGGGTCTTTAGGGTTTGGGGTTAGAAGGCAGAGTGCCATAGTATTAGGGGTTTGAGGGTAATGAGAGGGTTAGGGTTAGAGTTTCAGGGTCTTTATTATATTTAGGGTTTGGGGTTAGAAGGCAGAGTGCCATAGTATTAGGGGTTTGAGGGTAATGAAAGGGTTAGGGTTAGAGTTTCAGGGTCTTTATTATATTTAGGGTTTGGGGTTAGAAGGCAGAGTGCCATAGTATTAGGGGTTTGAGGGTAATGAAAGGGTTAGGGTTAGAGTTTCAGGGTCTTTATTATATTTAGGGTTTGGGGTTAGAAGGCAGAGTGCCATAGTATTAGGGGTTTGAGGGTAATGAAAGGGTTAGGGTTAGAGTTTCAGGGTCTTTATTATATTTAGGGTTTGGGGTTAGAAGGCAGAGTGCCATAGTATTAGGGGTTTGAGGGTAATGAAAGGGTTAGGGTTAGAGTTTCAGGGTCTTTATTATATTTAGGGTTTGGGGTTAGAAGGCAGAGTGCCATAGTATTAGGGGTTTGAGGGTAATGAAAGGGTTAGGGTTAGAGTTTCAGGGTCTTTAGTATTTAGGGTTTGGGGTTAGCAGGCAGAGTGCCATAGTGTTAGGGTTTGAGGGTAATGAAAGGGTTAGGGTTAGAGTTTCAGGGTCTTTAGTATATTTAGGGTTTGGGGTTAGAAGGCAGAGTGCCATAGTATTAGGGGTTTGAGGGTAATGAAAGGGTTAGGGTTAGAGTTTCAGGGTCTTTAGTATATTTAGGGTTTGGGGTTAGGAGGCAGAGTGCCATAGTGTTAGGGTTTGAGGGTAATGAAAGGGTTAGGGTTAGAGTTTCAGGGTCTTTAGTATTTAGGGTTTGGGGCTAGAAGGCAGAGTGCCATAGTTTTAGGGTTTGATAGTATTAGGGATGCACAAATCGCGTGAAGTGGCTACGAACTGCTGGATGTTGCGCTTTTCTGCGTTGACCACACTGTCAAGCGAATCACGTGCAGGCGAAGCAGGGTACAGCTGGGTGACGCGACAACGTCTGGCACTCTGCCTTCCCAGCTGCTGGCACTCTGCCTTCCCGCCTCAAGATCCATTAATTATTGCCACCCCAACTTTGCACGAAGCTGGTCGGTCAAAGGTATTGCTCCAGCATCAAGGTCAGGAAGTTCCCCCGGACCACCGAGACGGATGGCAACAAGTGAGAGGGGTTTCATCTGAAGGACAAACTGCCGTTGTTGTTCATCTTCGTCGTTCCAAACATAAACAAAATCACAAACGAGAGAAACGCGCGGCAACTCCAGCGGTTCTTCTCCTTCACCCACCTGATAACACTTCGGGAAGGGGCCTTCGTACCGTCGAAGAAGCCTGAGGCCTCCTGTAATGCGGGAGCCAATACGTGGCCAGTAACGCAGGTAGCGAACCATGATTTCCCAAGGCACGTCGTCATAAACTTCCTTCCATCTCTCAGCTGGTTCCACTGGTCAGGCGCTTTGGCCA